ACACATATATACACACATGTACATATATAATATTATATATTATTTATAATAACCTATAAAATACTTTCTTCAAACCTTTAAACAGCAGGTTACCTCCTCCTCGAGGTCTTCCGAGCATGACCATCCTCTGACAGCGCTAGACACTAAGAATGAAGTCCCTGACGTGTTAGCGCTTCCAGTTTAACAGAGCGTGAACAGATTTGGGAAACCCTAGGCTAGGTGGGGGTAGAGTCACTGCAGGTAAAGGTGTGGCATCCTGGGTGTGACCCCGCTGTATATCTCTTCCCCTGGCTAAGAAGAGTCTCTACTGGACACTGTGCAGATTAATATTGTGGATTCCATTCATTTATTCAACATTTATTGACCACCTAAATGTCAGGCACTGTTTTGACCAATTGGGACACTATGGTAACCAAAACCAAGATCCCCAGCTTTGTGGGGTTTACATTCTAGAAGGAGACACAATAAACAATAAGCATAATAGATGTTTAGTTGTAAAGTGACAATCACTATAGGAAAAAAAAAAGCAAATGGAGAACAATCTAAAGGAAAGCTAGAAAGTGGGGGGGAGAGGGGAGTTTTCCCTCCACAGAAAAAGAAAAGTAATGCCTCTGTGGGGGAAGATGAAACTTTCTCCAGCCTTTCTGGGTTCTTCCAGCTGGCCTAATAATCAAATTGACATGAGACAGATTAACAAGAGAAAATAACCGAATTTAATTATGTACATAGGTATGGGAACCCCGCATACACGACTGGTTCAGAGACAGGGAAAATGAGGTTGACATCCAGAGCTAAGGATAAGGCTGGGGCCTGCAGTTTCAGGTCCTTCACAGATGGATAAGGAGAGCAGATGTTCAATAATTATATGTTTGTCCTGCCATATAGATAGGTCAAAAAAGGTTATTTCTGGTGATAACTCTTATTATGGGCAAGGCCCCAAATTTAAATTCTTTAAGGGAGAGGCACAAGGGTCTTTATTGCCTTTAGCTCAAAAGAATCTGGGTACCAAGAGGCACATCTTGGGGCTACTCATTCTCAGCCCCTACAACTCCCACGTATAAAGGCCCTACTATGTTCCAGGGGCTTTATTCTGTTATTCCAACCTCTGCAATAATGCTGAGGGCCTCAGAGAGGCCAAGGGCCTCCAGCAAGGTCACCAGCAGCAAGTGATCAAGTGGAACCGAAACCCAAGTCAGAGAAACCTCAAGACCCTACAGTACCCCTTGCTCACTCCCTGAGCCATTATTTGGCACTTAGAGCCCCAGTCTTGCCCACAGATGGGTCTGTGCAGCGGGAGGGGGAGGCCTGTCATCCCTCCCAATACCACCTGCATAATCGTGACAATTTCTGCCAGGCCCCAAGGATCAGGGTGTAGTATACCAAGCATGGGCTGAAAGTCATAAGACCAGACTTGGGATCCCGTTTCTGCAGCTTACCAGCTTTGTAGACTTAGGTTCCATCACTCTGGGTCACTCTTTTCTTATCTGCAATAGTCAGCAGAGCAATACAGCTCCCACCTCACAGGGTTGTTGAGGGGATGAAATGACCCTGGTGTAATCTGCAAACTTCACAGTGCTGTGCCAGTGCTAGCTGTTGGCCTCGATGTTCCCATTTGTACAATGGAAATGTGTTCAGCTCTGTAGTAACTCCCTCAGCCCAGGGTTTACTGGTTGAACAGAAGCAAACTCGAGAGGTGCTGTGCACAATAGACTTTGGAGCCCAGGGACCTGGATTCATCTTTTCGATTCTGCTACTTGCTCTGTTATCTTGGCAAAGCTCTTAAGTTCTCCACTACCATGAAACTGGGGGAGTGCAGATGTAAACAGAATGAGTATTTAAACTATTTCACACAGAGGACCTGCCCGATAAATTTTGGCTTTGAAAAATTAGTAATATATAGTGGGATAGAATATTAGTCCCTCTGCTTTAGCTTTTGCTGTACTGTTTGATAGCCTTTATTTAAAAAAAAAAAACTAAAGAAAATGATAAAATGTTAAACATGTTTATTCTGGGTGATAGATTCACAGATGTTTGTTATATTATGATCTGTACTTTGCAAAAATTAAAAAAAAAAAAATTCAAGCTTGGGCCTGGGTGGTGATGCCACCTTGTGGCCACACTGTTATTGTCTTGAACTTAAAAATTCAGAAGTTCTGTGAGTGTGCTCCTAACTTTATCCTTTCCATCATTAATTAATAATGTCCTAGACTTCCTTAACATTTCAGTGTAGAGAGAGACCTTCAAGGATGCTTAGCCTTTGCTTGGTTACTTCTAACCTTAGGGTGCTCTCTCCCTAGAGGAAAAGTCTTGTGCTACAATGGGCAGCTGAGTCTTAGGAAGTCTTCTGCCCCAGGCCTCTGTTCCTGTCAGTACATAGAGGATCAAGGAGAGGTCCCCACTACAGAGATAGAGAGACCAAGGTCTAGAGAGTGTGTGAGGACTACCCAAAGCTGCTCTCACAGAAAACATGGACCAACTAGGTAAACTCCTAGTTCACTCCTTTAGCCTCAGCACATGTTAGGCTGTCAGTAAATATACGCTGAATGAATGAATGAATAAAACTATCAGCCCAACTGCCAGCTGTTCTGGGCCAATCATTCATTCTCAATAATTGTAATAATGGCTGACATTTACTGAGGTCTTACTATATGCCAGGCACTGTTTCAAGCTCTATATGTACACTGATTTATGTAAAGCCCACCACAACCCTGAGAGTAAGGAAGGTGTGATTATTATTCCCCATTTTACTGATGGGAAAACTGAGCCTAAGTGATTTGCTCAGGATTACACAGCTAGGAAGTGGCCCCACCAGAATTTGAACCAAGGCAGACTGGATTTTCTCTGAGGCTTGAAGCAGAAGAAAATTAGTTGGAGGTTACTGGCTTCATACAGGCAAACAAGGCAGGGAAGCCGAGACCAATTACCTGCCCATCCGGAGTGGGGCCTGTATTGACAGTGTTGTGTGTCAGTGTTAACCCCTTTTAAAGATTTTTCGTCCCTTGTGGGTGAGGTAGGGGCAATGACGAAGAGGAGCTGCGATTGGGGGGGTGGGCTGTCTTTGTTCATTTTAAGGTTGGCGAAGAGAAAAACTGGCAGTCACTAATTCACGTCTCCCTCCACATTGCAAACTGGCACAACTAACGATGCCTCTCTAGTCTCTCAAATCTGGCTCCTCCCACTCACCGCTCCCACATCCAATCAGCAGCTCCTCTCCCACGGGGCCTCCCCTCCCAGACGCATTGCCCCACCCACATCTCCTGCCCTGACCATTGCAGTTTCCAGCTAGTGTCCAGCCTCCCCTCCTCCACTCACGAGATTTCTTTTAGTCTCGCTAAAACCCAGCTCTGCGCAGACATTTCGAGGGCCCTTACTGCAAAGAGAATGAAGTCTGAACTCTGGCTATCTTTCCAGGCCTGCCACCATCTACGCCAACCCACATTCTTGTTTTCGTTCCAACCAGCTTTTATTTTCTTTATGTTTTTATTAATTTATGCTCTGCCTTGTTCGTTCTATACATAGGATGGAGGAAACCCCTGACCAAGGCACATCCTGCCAAGACAGTGCTCAGGTCTCAGTCCTCACCCGTAGCCAGAGACTTAATATAGCCAGGGCTTTAAAGACTGAGGGGGTCACTGAAGTCTGCATGCAGGAGGTACACTTCCCTCCAACCCAATTCCACATCAAGGGATGCAGGGCCACCATGGATGGTCATGCAAGTGGTGACCTGCACAACTGCAAGTGCTATTCTGAAGTTGGGAAGTACACAACCTGCAGAATGGAGCAGAGCAGCCATGAAGAAAAAGGCTCGGGTACACTGAGAAAAATCACTGTGCAGTACACAAACTGGTGTCACTAGAGGGCGCTAGATAAGAATCCTGGGGCCGCTGCTTCCCCGCCTGGCCGAATCACTGCTAAGGCACAAAGGCCCTGTTTTCTCATTAACAAAATGAGGATTTTAAAGGATTAGAAATAATATGTGTAAATTTCTGGTATATGGTGGTGATAGCAATGTGTACAAGGAACCACCCACACCACCTGCCCTGTCCTGTCTCGACACAGCATTTGGAACCCACGCTTGATCGCAGGGTGGGTAGTTATCTCTAGGCTCACTTTGAGAGGGGCAAAGGACTCCAGAGGCGTCAGGACGTAAGAGGCAATTAACGACCGCAACTACTAAGGTTATACTGGGCGCAGAGCGATTAGGCCAGACTCCCTGGGTTCCAGTCCCGTTGGTGGCATTTCTTGACTGCACGACCCTGAGCACATTATGCAATCTCTCAGCACTTCAGACACCTCCTCTGCAAACGAGGGCAATGTCTGTATCACAGGGTGGAGAATTCAGGGAGTTAATTTACGTAAAGTCCTTAGCACAATACCTTAACCTGTGTCTGTTTAGAACCACCGGTTTTGTCCATTTCCCCCTCGCCTGTGCCAGGCCAGGCTGGCGTCCAGGGAAGGACTGATACTGGGTCACTATGAGAGCAGAAAGAGATGGCGTGAGGCAACCTCAAGGGACCAAGAGTCAAAATCGGAAAAGCCCGGTTGGGGAGGCCCACCCAAAGTATGTACAAGGCCATAAACAGGCACCCCAGAAAAAAGGCAGGAGCTGGGGAGACAGGGGCCAAGGGTGCACTTGGCAGGAGTGAGCAGGTCAGCAGGATGCAGGGAGGGGGCTGCTCAGGGGCTGCACCGTGCTGCCTGGCCCCTTCCCTTAGGCCCTGCTGCTGGGCCGCTACGGGAACTTGGGTCGGCAGAGCCAGCCAGTGAAGAAGGCAACACAGCCATTGAACAAATTTATTCATGAGAAAATTCAGGATCTGTCAGGGAGACAACCTACTGGTTACAAGCTCCAGAAGCTCTTGTCAGAACAGCCGTGAGGGTTGGGGCACCCCCAGGCAGGGTGCTGGTGGGGCTGATACCCACTCTGGGGACAGATGAGCAGACACAGGCAGTTCTGGGTACTGATGTGGAGTTCTTCCTTGCCCACCTGCCCTGCCCCGCCCCGTCCAGTCCCCCTACCCCCTCTAGGGTTAAAGTGCAGCTGGGAGTGGCGAGGCTAGTGCGATGGGGCAGCCAGAGAGCTGCAGTGGACATGGCTGCCCACAGGAGCCCTCGCCCCGCCTCTTCCTTGTTTCTTGAGGCTCAGCCAGAGTCCATCCCACTCAGGACTCTTGTTGGGATCTGAGTAAGGGAGACCTCTCCCCACCATTGGACATTTAGAGAGTTCCCCCTACAAAGTAAGGCTGGCTCCATCAGCTGAGGAGCCCAGAACGTGGGGAGCAGCAGGAGGCACCAAGATCTCAGAGAAGAGGGAGGGATGCGCTCCGGTGGCCATGGTCTGGGGGTCATTCCCACCCCCTGGCCCAGAAAGGCTCCTCCCTCACCTCCCTCCACCCCCTGGAAGCCAAGGAAGCCAGAGGCCTAAAGAGCCTACCCCAACCCCCAGCTCCAGGGCCATGAGTCAGCAGGGTCCTGCCCAGGCCTGACTCCCAACCATGCATGTATAGAGAGGGCCACCTCAGTGCCACTGGGAGAAGCTGCCTGGGGTGGAGTGAGGTGAGAGGCCTTTGAGAAAGCCTGTAGGCCTGAGCTTCCTGCTTCTGCTGGATGGTCTTCCTGGCCCGGACCCGGTACCCACCCTCAGCCCAGGGCCCCACTCCACCGTCTGCACCCCAGGGGCCCTGCCCCACCAGAGGCTGCCAGGGACTTAGCCTGGCTCCCGCCATCTTGAATGGCCTCACCCCCACCTCAGCAGCTTAGCCAACTTCCTCCCCCTCCCAAAGGCACATCTCCAGGAGGCAGAAAGGAAGAAACCGCCCCCCCTCTGAAAAAGAACCCTGAAGACCTCTGCTTCCTCCCCCCACTCTTGAATATATTAAATTGTGCAGCTTGGCTCTAACCCCTCCCTTCAGATCTCCATGGCAACTGGGAAGCATTCCAAGTCCAAGTCTGAATCCAAGTCCATCCAGTGCCAAAGGGGGGCTTTAGCCTCTCCCCCCACTCTTCTCCCAGCATTCCACGGGGGACGAGAGGGGAGGTACAGACAGGGGCCTCAGTCCTCGGCCCCCTCTTCCTCGGCGTGGGGGACCCCAGGAGATTCCTCAGGCTCAGGGGTCTGCCCGCCAGGGTGGGGGTGAGGATGGGGGTGGGGATGGGTGCCCGGCTGGGAGCCTGGCCCATCCTCGCCCTGCACGTAGACACTCAGCCCCTCGTGACTAGGCTCCTTGCCACACGCCTGGCAGCTGCAGTGCAGGATCTTCTCCACCAGCTTGTCCACCCTGGGCACCTCCTCGTGGCCGGGGCACTCCAAGGTTACCTGGGGGCGGGGGGCAGGAGAGAAGGGTAGAGATGTTTCCAAAGGCCTAGGGCAGGCAGGGCGGTTTCAAGGGTAACACAGCCTCATGGGACCCAGAATCCCAGAGGCTGCAGAAGCCTGAGTCCACCAGATCGCTCTGGGGGCCCATACTGGGGGAGAGGGAGTGAGTCCCCACAGGTGCCACCTGCCTCGTCTCCTCATTCAGTCCTGCCACCCTCCTTTCCACCACCCCCGCCCCCGCCACAGCAGAGGGCACCCTGAAGGAAAAAGTCCAAAATGTGGCCTGCCTCTGCCTTAAATTCCCCTCAATACTCCCTACTGCACTTGGAGAAAATTCCTGAGACCACCCAGGACCTTCATGCTGTCCCTGGCGTCACCTCGCTACCCCTGACTTTGCACCATCCCTGCCAGCTGTGCTGACTGATCTTCCTGAGACTTTGCACATGCTGTTCCCTCTGCCTGGAAGGGCCTCACCCGAACCATCCCCTACCACCTGCCCAAACTCTGCTCAGTTTCCTTCTATCCAACCTCTAGGTCTGAGGTCAGACATCACCTCCCACAAAAGCCCCCCTCTGGAACCTCAGCTCAGCTGCCGCTCGCCCTGCATCAGCCCCATTGACATCTGCTCCTCGTTACCTTCCTTTTTCCCTCCCTTCCTTCCCTTGCCCTCTCTCCTTCCACGAAGCACCTACTCCATGCCAGCTCTGGGAATACAAGGACAGGCATGGCCCCTCAACAGAACTCACAGAGTCAAAATCACCCAAATGCAGATGGAAAACTGTGGATGTGACAGACACTCGAAGAAGAGGCACACAGGGCTCAGGGGATTGGGAAACGGGTCCTGGGAAAATGATGCCTGAGCTAAGAGCAGAAGGATGAACAGATGTTAACTAGGTGAGGAGGAGAAAGGTGTTCCAAACTGAGAAACAAGCGTGTGCAAAGGCCCTGTGGCAGTAAAAGCACAGCAGGTCTGAGAAACTGAAAGAAGGTGAGTTGGTGTCAAGTGTCAAGCTAGCAAAGAAAGTGAGAAAAGCAAAATGAAGCTAGAAAGACTGGTGAGCCAGACCACGCTGGCCTTTGTGGGGCATGGCGGGCTTGGCGGAGGCTGGGCAGCAGTACTCACAATCTCCCACATGGACTGGGCTGGCATGCAGGAGTCACAGTGCACCAGGGACTCTGTCGACTGCGGGAAGGTGTTGGGAACACTGTAGCTGAAGCACTGTCCTAGACACGCCCTGTGGGAGGAGAGGTTGCCATGCCATCACCCGGCAGAGGCAGGGGTGGGCAGCCCCGCCCTCTTCCTCCCTTCTGAGCCCCTGTCCTCATCCCCTCCACCCTCCCTTCTGTATCCCACCTGTTCTGGATGGACTTGGCCTCACAGCCGCTGTGGCCCACAATCTGGGTGATGTTCTTGGCCTCGCACCAGGCACTCTTGTCCGGGAACAATGCCAGCTTGTTGATAGGTGGTGGCGCAGCCAGCAGCACGGCGGGGAGGACAGCCCCCACCAGGACCCGAAGCATCATGCTCATGGCCTTTAGAGCCCTAGAACTGAGCACAGACTTCAGGTGAGGCCAGTCAGGCTCAGGAGGCTGGGCAGAGGGGGTCAGCAGTGTTACAAGCGTGGGCTCTGACACCTGACCGACGGCTCGAACCCTGGCTCTACCACGTACTAGCCAAGCACAACCCTGGACAAGTTATTTCTCCCATGTGAACTTCAAAACGAGAGCTGCTAATAGTATGTGCATCAGATGGGTATCATAAAGCGGAAATGAGGTGTTATATGAGAAGCCCTCCGTGAGGCTAGCAGATAACACACACTCGGTGCGTGTTAGTTATTTTTAAAAATTACTAGGTCGCTTTGAGCAAGTTACTGTTTATCTCTGTGCCCCAGTGTCTTCACCTAAAGAACTGGGACGGTAATAGCGTGCGTGGCAAAGGACTGCTGTTAGTACCAACTGGACACTGCCAAGCACATGCTGAGCGCTGACCGAACATCAGCTGTCTCCTCACTCTGATGATGTGGGTCCTCCAGGAAACCCAAAACACTGCCCAGAGTGCCTGCCCTTAGGGGCTGGCCATCCATCACGTCTCCTGGACACGCTGCCACAGTTGTCAGTCTCCTGACATCGGGAAAGCTAACCTCCGTGTTCATGTCACTATGAATTCCGGGAAAGCTAACCTCCGTGTTCATGTCACTATGAATTCTTGGGCCCCTGTGGCTGCCTGGGCCTCAGGTGAAAAAACTAGCCCCATACTAGACTGTATTTCTTTTTTGGATGCCCCACCCGAGCCTTGAGCCCAAGTGTACACGTATTCAGCATTATCCCCAATTCCATCCTAACGCAGTCAAGCAGGGAACAATCCAAGCTAAGCTCTTGCCTCTCTGCAAATTGGCTAGGATGATACCAGAATTTGCCAGCAGATGGCGCTGCAGGGCAGGGTGTGTGTCCCAAGGATCCCGGGCACAGGGGACTCCTCACCCCAATGTTCCCCAGTTTCATCTTCTCTAGGTTTTGCCCCCTCCCCACCTCAAAAGTATGTGGAGAAGGATGGCTTTAGACAGATTCAGAAAGGAAAGAAATGCCTGCAAGGTGGTCCTCTGGGGAAAGGATGCTGGACTGGGAGGTGTCCGCACATGCTGTGCGACCCTGGATACTCAGGCCTCAGTATCCCCACCTTTAAGATGTGTGAGGTGCCCTGGGCCACTGGTTTCCAAGGCTGGTGGATCCTCAGAATCCCCTGGGGACTTGTGGAGAGCAAGTTCTCGCATGGCCGGGAGTTTGCACTTCTAACTAGCTTCCAGGATGGTTGATACGCAGCCAAGCTTGAGAGCCAGTCCAGCTCAATCAGTCTGGGATTCTGTGCCTTGGGACAATCCCCAGAGGGGCCTCGGTGGGGCTGAATCAGGAGAAGGGGCCAAATAACTGTCCCACTGGTCCCACAGACACCCAGCACTAGAGTCAGGCTGGCTCCAGGCTGGCCATTCCATTCAGAACCCTCAGCCCCCTTTCTGCTAAAAGTAGCAGGTAGTTTGCAAAGTTTCTATGGTCAGGGGGGATGTTGGGGCATCGTGCCTGCTCCTGCAGTGGAAACCTAGGCGGCAGGTCAGCTGGGCTTCTGCGGAGGGCCTGGGCTGGCCTGCAAGGCTGTGACCACAGCACTCAGCTCCTGCCCCTTCTCCTGGCAGTAGGCAGAGATGTGTCCTATCTCACCAGGTCCCAATGCCTGGGTGACCCTTGCTCCAAGCCCAGCAGGGAAGGGTGGAGAGGGGAGAGCAGTAGGAGGTGAGTCTGGACAGTCTGCCCCCATCCAAGATGAGTTCGTCATGGCCCAGGCTCTCACCCACACATTTCCGGTCTCACTCACAAGACGGACAGCAAAGCCTGTGTTTTCAGTACAACCACATCCTAACGAAACAGAATAAACTTGTTCCTAACTAGCAACCTAATTTTTCAACAGGCTTAGTATCCAGGAGGCTTCCTCATGCCTAAGGATGCTCATCTGTCCCTAGGGAATTAGCCTCTAAGTCAGGGTCTGACCATGGCTGACCAAACGTTTGCCATCAGGACACAACCACCTCCTCCAGCCCTCGCACACAGCCCCCAAGAACCCAGGCTGCCCCCCAACCATGCACTCGGGTGGGCTCTTTGCTAATGGGTTTTATTTTTTGTTGGTTTATCTTTTTTTTTTTTTTTTTGAGCAGCAACTCAATGTTTTTTATACAGCAGTCAGATCTTCCTGAGACTTGAGAGCCAAACCCACAGATTCTCATGCCCTCCTCCCGCCCTGAAAATCACACAGCAGGTCATGGGACACCCACAATACCAGGGCAGGAAGGGGGCTCCCCAGGTCGATCCCCCTTGCTTTGCGGAGGGGTTGCCCCAGCGAGTCAGGCCAAGCAATGCCCTTCCCCTGAGCTGTGCGGTTTCATTTTCTGAGCATCTTCTAGGATGCCAGAGAAGAAGGCAAGGGGGTGGGCAGGGTAGTTGCAGTCCTCGACCCTGTGCCCACTCAGGAGCTCAGAGCCTAGAGAGAGAGAGAGGGGAGGGAGCGGGGTTAAGAGGAAGTTGTTCAGAGCAGGAGCAGAGATGGCTGTGGGGGGCGAGGAGTAGAGAGTCTTAATTCTGGGTTTAATGCAGGATCACAACTAGTTACCGAAGGTGGGGAGAGGAAGCGAGCTCCTGGTTGAGGGAACAGAATGAGCGGAGGCCAAGGGGCGGGAATTAGCCACGTCGCCCCACACGGCCGCTCCTTGCCTCACTGGGAGTGGCAGGAGCTGGTTCTAACAGTGCCTTGCACTGGGCACTGTTCTAAGCACTTTCACACACACTTATTTATTCAGTCCTTACAACAACTGTGCCTCAGTTGTAAGGGCTGAATAAGTGAATATACGTAAAGAACCGGTAAGCCCAGTAAGTAGTAGAACAGAGATTTGAACTTGGAGGGCAGCGGGATGACCACCGGCTAGCTACCTTTGCAAATGAAAGGGCTCTCAGGGGAGGAATCAGGACATGGAGGGAGAGATGGCTCATCCACGGAACGATGTGGAGCGGCCCGAGGCCTGGGGCTCCCTGCCCCTGCCCGGCCCCAGCGGCTGTGTCCCTCGTCTGTGTCCCTCATCCGTGTCAACCCTCCGGTGTTCAGCCTCAGTCCAGCTGGAAGCCTGGGAGCCCCATGAACAGGGTTCAAACCCCACTCCCAACTCTGCTGCAGACTGGGGTGTGGCCCCAGCTCCTCCGAGCCTTGGTGGGGTGACGCTGCCCTTCCTCCGAGTGGAGGTGTGGCTTCAGCGAGCACGGCAGCCCTGGGCGTGGGCCTTCTCACCACCCCAGCGTCCACTCCCAAACCCAAGCCCTCCGGACCCTCGGAGCCCTCGTGGGAACACCCGACGCATCCCGAGGCTGCTAATGACACTGAGTGAGTTTCCCGGGGGACACTGGCTGACCCATCCTGACACGGTGGAGACTGGAGAGCGGATCAAGGAAGGGGCCACCGGCATATCCCACACCAGGAGGAGGGCGGTGAATGAAAACAGGACACCTGCCTTGGCAGCCTCTCCTCCGGAAGCGCCAGGGAGTAGGGGAGCAAGAATGCAAACTTCGGGGCGGGCCTCTGGGGTCCTCTCTGTCTCCACACCGACAAGAACCTAGTATCTTCCTTTAAAAGCTGCTTGCCCAAAACTCAGAGGCCTGGTCCCAGCCCCGGACAGGTCTAGGGTGCGGCCCGGGCATCTGTACGGGCTCCCACGTGCTGCTGAGACCCAGCCAGGTGGGGAGCTACAGCCCAACTCCCCAGGAAAAGTCCCCCCATAACAGCCCCGCTGACAGAGGCCACTCACCCCACCACTCACCCCACCACCTGAATCCTGATGCCTAAAATCAAGTCTTAAATTCACAGGAGAGGCCTGGATTTCAAGGGACCTCCGGCCCCTGTCCCCACCCACTGTGAAGCCCTTTGTAGAGCAAAGACTCAATTTTGTATAACAAGTGAACAATCGCTCCCCATTTCCTCTTTGGGGTAAATCTGAATATTCAGGGTCACTCAGTGCCCAGCACCACGGGATTGTCTGGTAGAATGCACCCACTCACCCCCACCCTCCTCCTCTCCCTCCGTGTGTCTGTCTGTCTGTCTGTCTGTCTCTGTCTCTGTCTCTCTCTCTCTCTCTCCTCTCTCTCTCTCTCTCTCGCCCACACACACACACACACACACACACACACACACACACACACACACACACGGCATGCCTGGGTCTCCTCCATTCACCACAGCTGACCGTGACAAACCCGGTTCCCATCCTAGCTCAGCCACTGTAACCTTCCTCTGCCTCACTCACATCTGCAAAGTAGGGGTAGCAGTAATACCCACCTCACAGGGCAGTGTGCACGGAAACCTCTGGAGAGGGCGCCTGTCATGGGATAAGTGCTCAATGTCACCAATAGTGCCAGCTCGAAGTCACCCTGGGCCACTCATCCTCCCTGAACTGTGCCCACGCCCTTCTGCCTCCACACGATCCCCCGCATCCTCCCCCTATCCCCACTGGACCCTATGTGGCCCCAAGAATATCCAATCCCAAGGTTGCACTTGCCCTGATAAAAGTGGATTGAGGGGAAATCCAAGCAAATGAGATGATTGATGGCTGGGAAAGGGTTTCATAAACTGTCGAGTGCTGCCCCGCTCACACACCTGCTTGTCAGGGTGGGAGCTGAGAGTTAGATCCCACTCAGACTCTAATTCTTGGGCCACTGACTAAAAGGGACAATGGGGTCCAGGGGAGACCAATCCCTTCTAGAATCCACCTTCGAGAAAACAGGCAGGGAGGGCCTGGCTGCCGGGCCGAGGCTGTGCATGCTGCTGGGTGCAGAGGGTGTGGCACTGGTGGCCCTGGGCTCGGGATCAGCAAGGGTGGGGCGATCACTGCAGGTCTTGGACTGAGTGCAGGGACTTCCTTGAATGGTGCAACTGAAAAGGGGACCTGGCAGTGTCAGACCCCCAGCCCTGGTCAGCTGGGCGGGGTTTCCCAAGCCCACTCTGGAGTCCGAGGGCAAGTTCAGGGCCCAAGCTCATCCACTGGCTCACTGTGTGCCTGGAGGCAGGATCGGCTACTGGTTAAAGACCAGGCCACCGGCCACTGGTTTCACCTCCCTAAGTCTCACGTTTGTAAACTGGGAAGCACTGCCTGGAAAGGTCCATTTTAGCAGATTCCCTCAAAGGGAATCTGGCTCCTGCGTCCTGCTTACGGCCACTGTGATTCCATGACCCCAGCCTGGCCGCAGGGTGGCCTCCTTCCTCCGTCAGCACTGGCAGAGCGAGAACCAACTGTCCAGGGGGCAGACATGCAGAGCCCAGCCCAAGCCCAAAAGGCCTGCCCGCCTCTGCCAGGCAGCTCCCCCTTCCTGGCTACAACCCCCAACCGAGACCACGGCCCTCCTGCCTGCAGACCCAAAGCTGTCTCCAAAACAAATCTATGCTAATGAGCCGCTGCAAGGCGGGCCCACACATCTGCTGAGCACAAGTACCCCTGCAGACCTCACAGCATCGCCGCAGGTTCCCCAGCCTCTGACCCTTGGGGTTGGGGTTGGGGGTGAAGGGGCTAAACTCAGTCTGAGATTTCACTTTAAAAGAATGAGGATATATCGGCGGCAAATGTAGAGCGCCTACACCCCACCCACCCCTCCAGCACGCAGGCCCAGGAGAAAAGAGGTCCAGACTGCAGCGGTGGGGGATGAGGGGTGGGGTTTAGCAAGGAAATGCTCCAGTGTCACCTTTTCTTTGGCCCCAACTAAAGGTAAACCACACCCAAGCAGCCCCGGCGTCTGGGGTAATTCCAAGAGCCCGGTGGTTTGACAGTAACAAAGGATGAGGGGCTTGTTGACAAATTGCTTCCTCACCGCCACCCCCACCAGCTGCCCAGCCTTTGGCCTCGGGCCCTGACCTCTGTTTTTCCTGGGTTTCCCTTAGTTACAGGCTGGTGTCCTCCAGCTGGGCCAGGGCCTCAGAAAGCCTGAAAATGTGCCCTTTTCCCTTGTTGCCCGCCAACCCCCCGGCCACGCCAAAGCAGGCAGCTGCCCCTTTACTGTTGCTTGTAAAAGATCAGAATCGCCCCGCCCAGGGAGCAGGCGGGCAGGTGGCCGGCAGCAGGGCCCTGTTGTCCAGGCCGCCAAACGGGGATGGAACTCAAGAAAACTGAGCCCCCAGAAAGGCTGGCTTCCCCTGCCCCAGACTCAATTCCAGGGGGATGACCCTGGCCAGGCCTCGGGGGCAGGCGGAAGGTAGGGGGAGGGTTTCGCTTCTCTTACCCGGTCTAGGAAACTATTCCGACTACGCCGACACTGGGGGACTATCTGAATTTGAGGTTGGGGGGTCCGGGAGCTGCGCCGACACACAGAGACCCCACAGGGGGGCAGAACGGAGAGAC